TTGTAAATCTCACATTTGATGATGGACCACAGGTTCTCAATGGGGTTCAGATCAGGTGAACAAGGAGGCCATGTCATTAGATTTTCTTTTATACCCTTTCTTGCCAGCCACGCTGTGGAGTACTTGGACGCGTGTGATGGAGCATTGTCCTGCATGAAAATCATGTTTTTCTTGAAGGATGCAGACTTCTTCCTGTACCACTGCTTGAAGAAGGTGTCTTCCAGGAACTGGCAGTAGGACTGGGAGTTGAGCTTGACTCCATCCTCAACCCGAAAAGGCCCCACAAGATCATCTTTGATGATACCAGCCCAAACCAGTACTCCACCTCCACCTTGCTGGCGTCTGAGTCGGACTGGAGCTCTCTGCCCTTTACCAATCCAGCCACGGGCCCATCCATCTGGCCCATCAAGACTCACTCTCATTTCATCAGTCCATAAAACCTTAGAAAAATCAGTCTTGAGATATTTCTTGGCCCAGTCTTGACGTTTCAGCTTGTGTGTCTTGTTCAGTGGTGGTCGTCTTTCAGCCTTTCTTACCTTGGCCATGTCTCTGAGTATTGCACACCTTGTGCTTTTGGGCACTCCAGTGATGTTGCAGCTCTGAAATATGGCCAAACTGGTGGCAAGTGGCATCGTGGCAGCTGCACGCTTGACTTTTCTCAGTTCATGGGCAGTTATTTTGCGCCTTGGTTTTTCCACACGCTTCTTGCGACCCTGTTGACTATTTTGAATGAAACGCTTGATTGTTCGATGATCACGCTTCAGAAGCTTTGCAATTTTAAGAGTGCTGCATCCCTCTGCAAGATATCTCACTATTTTTGACTTTTCTGAGCCTGTCAAGTCCTTCTTTTGACCCATTTTGCCAAAGGAAAGGAAGTTGCCTAATAATTATGCACACCTGATATAGGGTGTTGATGTCATTAGACCACACTCCTTCTCATTACAGAGATGCACATCACCTAATATGCTTAATTGGTAGTAGGCTTTCGAGCCTATACAGCTTGGAGTAAGACAACATGCATAAAGAGGATGATGTGGTCAAAATACTCATTTGCCTAATAATTATGCACTCCCTGTATAGAAATATACATAATAAAATAAATATATATAATCTAATTAAATCTAAAATGTTATATATATCTATTAATCTCAAAATCAACATTAAGTCCTTGTGGTACCATTGTATCAAGTTCAAACATCCACTTCATCTCTGCTAATCCCAGAATACATTCTTTATTCCCCCCTCTCCAATGAATTTTAATTTGATCAATACCTATAAAATCTATACCCTTGGGGTCACCGTTATGGACTTGTAAAAAGTGATTAGAAACACTATGATTAGCAAATTTACGTTGGATATTATATATATGTTCTCTAATCCGGATTTTCAGACTACGTGTGGTCTTACCAATATATTGGAACCCACATGGGCACGTAACCATATAAATCACATCTTTACTTGAACATGTTAAAAAAGACTTAATCTGATATTCCCTTTTAGTTACACCGGATACAAATTGTGTAATTTTCTTATTTTTATTTAATCTAAAAGAACAGCCTCTACAAGTACCACAAAAATGGAAACCTTTACTTCCCTTAAGGAAATTTCCATCTTTCTCAATTTTATCTTTATCTAATCTAGGTTTATCATTTAGAAAAGGGAGTACATCAGGGTCTTCTTTAAGTACATTCCAATGTTTTTTAATGACTTTTTGTAATACAAAATTATTGGTACTAAAATTAAAGATAAGAGGAATTTTTTCTCCATCCTCTTTACTTTTTTTATCCTCTGAATTATCCTTAATCTTATATTTTAAAAGTCCTTTTCTCTCCTTTTCTCCAATTTCTTTCTCAATTTTATCCAAATTTTCTTTTTTATATCCTTTTTCAATAAATTTTCCCTTTAAGATCTCTGCTTGTTTAAAAAATTCATGTTCTTCAGTACAATTCCTTTTTAACCTTAACAGCTGACCTTTAGGGATATTACTAAGCCAAGGCTTAAAGTGACAACTTTTCAGGTCTATAAAACTGTTAACATCAACAGTTTAAAAAAAAGTTTTACTCTTAATAGCACACTTATCAATATAAATGAGGAGATCTAAAAAATTAATTTGATCTTTACTGATATCATAGGATAGATTAATATTATAAGAATTCTGATTAAGAGAAAAGATAAATTGTACACAGGAGTTTGCGGGTGGTGTCCCAGATTTTTAGTGTCGTTAAGGTGGCGGGAAGTGCATTTGTGGTGTTTCCCCTTTGGTGGGGTAGCATCCATATTGTGGTTTTGATGTCTTGGGTTTGCAACCAGTGCTGCTCTGTAGAGACCCACTGGGGGGGAGACGTCTGTTGGTTAATAGGAAAGAGGCTGGCTAAGACCGCTGCTTTGTAGTATAGCTGCACGTTAGGGAGGCTCATGCCGCCCATCCACACTGGTTGGTGTAGTGTGGCTAGAGCTACTCTCGGTCGTTTTCCATGCCATACGAATAAATTTATTTGTTTCTGGAGGGACAGAAAGTAAGCAGACGGCACTGTCAGGGTGAGTGTCCTGAATAGATATTGTAATTTGGGTAATATCACCATCTTTACTGCTGCTATTCGGACGGACCAGGATATAAATTTATTTCTCCAGTGTAGGAGGATGTTGGTAATGTCTTTGCTAAGTTTAACATAGTTTAAATGGTACAGGTCGGACATAGTGTGTGGGAGTTTGATCCCTAGGAACGTGAGGTAGTCCGTTCTCCAGTCATAAGGGAACTGGCCCATCAGGTTGGATAGATAGTCATCCTCCATCCCCACCCCCATGGCCTGTGTTTTGGACAGATTTAGCTTATAGTACGAGCAGTGGCTGTATTGCTACAGTATGTTGTGAAATGCTGGTAAGGATTTGTGTGGGTCAGTGATGGTTAGGAGGACATCGTCAGCAAAAATTTTAAATTTGTGTTCTTCCCCTCCAACTTTGATTCCTGTGATCTCTGTTGATGAGCGTATGGCCTCAGCTAAGGGTTCTAAAGCCATTATGTATAAGAGGGGCGAGAGCGGGCACCCCTGCCGAGTGCCATTAGTAATAGGAAAGGACCTTGATTGGAATCTGGACGTGAAGACCCGGGCCTCGGGGTTACTATATAATGATTTGATCATGGAGATAAAATGTGAAGGGAAGCCAAATTTAACTAGGACCGCCTGCAGGAATGACCAGTGCAGGCGGTCGAAAGCCTTTTCGGCATCTAAGGATAGTAAGAGACTGTTAGGGAAGCGTCTATGCATGGTGTGTAGTAGTGCAAGGGCTTTTCGTGTACCGTCTGCTCCCTGTCTGCCACGTACAAAGCAGACTTGATCCGAGTGTACTATAGTCGGCAGGATTGTGGTCAGTCTGTTGGCATAGACTTTGGCCAGGATCTTCACGTCCGAATTTAGTAGGGAGATCGGTCGAAAATTTGCGCAATGGGTTGGCGGTTTTTCGGGTTTGGGCAAAGTAGCCACATTGGCCGTTAGCATGTCCTGCGGTATGTTTTCTTGTGCCGTGGTGGAAGTGAAAAGTGATACTAGTCGGGGGGTGAGGATAGAGGAGAACCTCTTATAGTATAAGTTTGGCAGTCCATCTGGGCCTGGGGTTTTGTTTATTGGCAGGTTTTGTATAACCTTAAGTATTTCCGTTTGTGAAATGGGTCCTGCCAGATACTCTTGTTGCGAAACCGAGAGCACAGGTAAATGAACTTTGTTCAGGAAATTGGCTATTTCCTCTTCGAAGGGCTGGTGTGCCGTAGGGTCGTCTTTTAAATGATAGAGTTTGCTGTAGAAAAGATCGCTGATCTGCTGGGGTTTGATGATCTTTTTCCCCTCTTGTGTGTTAAGGTATGCTATTTTGGTTTGTGCCTGCATGTCCCTGAGTCGGTTGGCCAGAAGTGAACTGGCTTTGTTACCCATACAGTACTCCCTGGCTTTCAGTTTTTGGAGCGCGCGGGTTGTGTTGGCTATATTTATGTCATCGAGTTCTGATTTGAGTAATTATAGCAGCGTCTCTTGGGTTTGGGTTGAGTAAGTGGGAGGCTGATGCGTCTCTCAATTTCCTCAATAAGTTCAGGTACTTTGTCTGGGAGGTCAATCGTATAAACAACCCGCGCACTACGGCTTTATGGGCTCTCCATATCAATGTCGGGGACGTCCCTGGTGTTTCGTTGTCAGAGAAGTAGTGCTTGAGTTCAGTTTCTATTTCTGAGCTAAATTTTTCGTCTTGTAAGATGGAGCTATTAAGTCTCCATGGGTTGCAGACTCTAAAGGTGAATTTGTCTCTGAATGTAGCGAGCACTGGGGCGTGGTCTGACCAGATGATGTCACCCATGTGGCATGTTTGAAGCAAGTTAAGAGAAGGTCCCGTTATGAGTATTACATCTATCCTAGAGTATGTCTTGTGGGGTTTGGAATAATATGAGCAGTCTCTGTCTGAGGGGTGGAGTGTTCTCCAGCTGTCATATAGATAAAATTTCGTCAGCAGTTGTGTTAAGGCTTTGCAAGTTGGTTTGAGGGATTTCTGTCGGCTGGTAGTGGGGGACATAGAGGTATCTAGGGCCGGGTCAAGGACGTGGTTTATATCCCCGCAAATTATCGTAGTGCCACGCTGTGCAGCTGCCACCTTTGTGAGGGCACTGGTCAGAAAGTTCCTCTGGTTCTCGTTGGGCGCATATAGATTTACAATGGTATATTGTATGTTATTCATTAGACAGACAACAATCAAGTACCTGCCCTGGTCGTCCGTGATGGTGCTTAGTAGTTCAAAGGCGACTGAGCTATGTATGTAGATGGAAACACCCCAGGATTTGGATATGTGTGCTGAGTGGAACTGATGAGGGAAGTGTTTCATTCCGAACTGGGGGATTTTTGCTTTGGGGAAGTGGGTTTCTTGAAGGCATAATATGTCTGCCTTTGATTTGCGAGCTTCTTGAAGTAGCATGTGTCTCTTATGTGGCATGTTGAGCCCCCGGACATTATGTGAGTAGACTATCAGTGTGAGTTGTAGGATGAGCTGCTGTCATTAAAAGTGGGATCGTGAGTTCTGGCGTACGTTTGATTCCAGTGAGTGTGAAGAGGAGGCGTATGAGCGCCTTTATTTGAAGTATTCCTTGTCTGGGTTTTTGGACGGGATGAGGTGGATGAGGTTGTAACTGGGGGGGGGGAACAGGGATGAAAAGAAATAGAGTTAATTAACAAAAGTATGTACATAAGAGCCCGATCTTGGTACAAGGCGTTGTGGCGCAACGCCGTGGGGGGCATGGGATCGGAGACGGTGGACAAGCGGTGGCCTAAGCAGGCTAAAGGTGTGTGGTGCAACATGCACTGTTATGTTACAACAATAAACAAAGCAAAGTCTCATGTGGTCTCTAAGTGTGATTCTTAGTGTGAATGAAGAGCACCGTTGTTTAAACGTAGTGAGATGTCCCTATGGGACCGTTGTTTAAAAGAGGTGTGGGAGCTGGTAACCTGTTTTGGTTTTGCATCGGGGCTTCCCAACTCTACGAGTGTGATCACAAACAGGTGCTGGGAGGGAGGTTTCTGTCATATTATGCTCGGTAAGTCTGTCGTGTATCGTGGGTCTCTGACCTCAGCTTCCATTTGAGTTCTGTAGTGGTGGGAGCCGGGGCTTAGGTGGTATGTAATTACCGCCATAATACAACATATTATCCAGCAAGTGTAGGTGGTTAAAGCCTGGATTGGCAGTACCTCTACATTTATCATACATGTGGACTAGCCGGGTGTACCCGTTTAGGTGGAGCTCGAAGTATGGCCTTGTGGATATGCCTGACGGGCGGTGTGGGTGGTTACCTATGTAAGTCGGTCAGTGTGAGTGGTGTATGGTGCCGCTCATGCATCAGCTGTCGTGGGTAAGCGGTAGTCAATTTATGGAGTCACCTTTTGGTAATTGGATGAAAAATATTTTTTCCCTTGTCCAGGTGTCCAATAAATGGTTTATCTACAAAAGACAATCATACATAGTGCAGATAGTATATAACTGTACATTCATGTATCTATATATGGTGTTATTCACTCACAAACAAAGAGCTGTGGACCCAGCTCTAGTTGAAATCACTCTCGGGTCGGTATAGGCGACCCACGCCTGTTTAGGATGTACGTCTTGTCCTACAGGGAGATAAATGGACCGGAGATAGCAGTTTATAAAGGTTGAAATAAAGATATTGATCCCAAGTGGGTACCTACAGACCAAGAGTCTAAATTGACTCAATTCTTGAGCAATGTGCAGATTAAGGGGCTGCACTCCCAGATGAGAATGGATAGATGGAGAACCAAATAAAAAAGAATAAACGAATTTATTAACACAATATGTAAAATACAAATAAAATCGGATCAATGTCCAAATAAAAAAGCCGGAACGTGTTTCACCACACAAGCGTGGCTTCCCCAACCGGATCCATATGCTGAATGTCAGTAGGTTCCCCATCTCCGTTTAAATATCCTCCTTAATGATTCCATGTGGTACAGGTGTGTGCCTCCCACACACGTCGTTACCACTTGCAGGTAGGACGTGTGGTGGTCCACGTCTCATTTTCGCACCGTCATCTGATGCTGTCCTCGCCTCGTTTTAACTTCCGTGCCTCCAGACTATTTAACTGTTCATTTCCACAAGTTGTCACCATCGGGCTATTTTATATCCACAAAATTCAGACGTCAGTCTTTACAATTAAAATTGAACAAACATATTTTAATTGCACAAACACATTCCGATTATATTTATTTATCACGTGAAGGTCGGCCAGTTAGCTTGCAGAGTTTCGTAGTTCATGATTTAACATATTGAGGAAATAAGACACCGAAAGAGAAAAAAGGATAATATCAATTCCAAACAATCTTACAATTTGCTCAAAATTGGCAGGTTTATCTTAACATTATTCCAAATAAAATTTAATTAAAATACCATTTTTATGTTTATCTTATTCTTTTATCATTTAAACGCGATTTTGAATAGATAGGTACATAAGGAAAAAAGAATTAGTAACATTCCTGTGCTAGTTAAGATCGAGCAAAAATTCTTTCTAAATCAACCCTCACTTTGATATAAAGAAATCTTATAAAATGTAACATTGTGTTTTTATTCCCTGTGGTTCATGGTAGAATTATATTGTTGTATACAAACTTTCCTTTTCTCTTAGAACTAATTTCTTGTTTCAACTTCCAATATACTTCTTCTATTAACATTCTTTATTTTATAATATTGCATAAAGAAATAGCAAGAACTCTATGTAGAAATTCGTTTTATAATAGTCCTTATGTAACTGAATAAAATTATAAAAATGACAGAGTTCGAAATCAGAGTTCAGTCCATTAGGAATTAACGTATTTAATTTATAAATCCACTTCATCTCTGATTTTCCCAATTCTCTAATAAAATCTCCCCCTCTCCAATTCCGTTCCATTCTTTCTAGACCCATAAATGTTAGACCTACGGGGTTTTTATTAGGAAATTCTTTAAAATGACTGGAGACACTGTGTTGTTCAAAACCCTTTTGGATTTTATAAATATGTTCCCTGACCCTCACATATAGGGGTCTCGTTGTACGACCCACATATTTTAACCCACAAGGGCAGGTTAAGAGATAAATCAAATTTTTTGTAAAGCATGTCATAAACTGCTTAATCAGCAATTTTACGTTCCCATTTAGAGCTATATCTTTAATTACCCTTCTCTTACATCTAGATTTTTTTACAAGATTGGCATGAGCCGCAACCATAAAAACCTTTCTCATTTTTGAATATGGTTGGAAGATCTTTCTTTTCTCTTAAAGAACTACGTACTAAGGTGTTTTTGAGATTTTTCACACCTCTATAGATAATTTTAGGTTTATCAGGGAGAAAAGATTTTAAGATAGGGTCTTGTAGTAAGACTGGCCAGTATTTATTAATAATTTTCCTTACTTGTTTATTTTGAGTATTGAAATTGCAGATAAAATGAAGGACTTGGGATTCTGTATCAATTTTTGGTTTGCCCCCAGTTATGCCAATTTATTTATGTCATTCTGGGAGGAGTCATTTGTTTATGGTGGTCATGACTGGGGGGAAAGCTTGGTCTTCTATGGCCGCTACATCGACGATATTTAATTCATATGGAAAGGTGAAGAAAATGAACTAGTTCAATTTCTAGAATTTTTAAATAATAATACAGAATCCCATTACCAAAAGGTGATAATATATTATTTATTGTACAAGCGCTACATTCTTTAAGGCATTTTTTTCCTTTTTACTGTTTAAATTTATTGGTGACATTGAAGGAGTCATGAGAATGTTTAGCAGCTAATTATCATTGGATATATATCTTTTTATTGGGAATAATAAGCGCTGAGTCCTTAACTTTTACTTTTCTTGCAAATTTATGGAGTCAGGCCAATAAAGTATGGCAAGGTGTTGCTGGTGCCTCTGGTGAACAGTGTGGTTCAACAGTGGTCAAACAATTAGGCAAAACACATTATGATATTGCTAGTACATCCTGCAAACATTATGAACAGGTATAATTACAATGCTTTAGTTAATAATTATTTGTGTACTGAAAAAATGGTAGTGTTAGGTCCGCAGGTGCCTATCAGGCTGTTGCGGTTTGGCCTTAAAGATAGTAGTGGCCGGGATTCAATCATTAAACATTGGAGCAGTAGGGATATTGTGCCGCCAGAGTGGGAATACTTGCGGTCTTTCGTCAGTCGGCTATGTGCCAGTCCTTGACCACTTTTCTCGGTGGTTTCAGGGCTTGTGTTTCGCCCACGATGTTCAGGTTCCACTGGTGTAGGAGGTTCAGACCTTCTTCCACCGTGTGTATGACAGTGGTGGTTCCATTTCTGGAGACAATCAGACGAATAGGGAAGCCCCAGCGGTATAGAATGCGGTTGGCGCAGAAAGTTTCTGTCACTTGCTGGAAGGTTTTCCTTTGTCTCAGGGTGGCTGCTGAGAGATCTGAAAACATCTTGATGCCGGAGTACTCCGTTGGAAGGTCCTTCGCGGTTCTGCTTCTTTTCATCAGGAGCTCTTTTACATGGAAATAATGTGCTTTCAAAACACATCTCTGGGTAAGGATGCGGCTATGTGTTGGGGTTTCGGGATCCTATGCAGGCGGTCTATTAGCAGCATGTCCGTGGGGATCTCAGGGATCAGGAGTTTGAAAAAGCTGTGTACGTAACTGGGGAGATCCCCCGGGAGAACCGTCTCCGGTATGCCCCTCAGCCTGAATTTACTCCTTCTGGATCGGTCCTCCAGGTCCATGAGCTTTGCCTCACATTTTTGAAGTTGATCGGTGAGGGATTTGAGTTGCTCCGTGGACGCATTGTGTGCATCGACCAGATCTTCCACCTTGGCCTCCACATGCGTTGTGCGGGACCCGACATCTTGCAGGTCGCGTTTCAGTTCTGCAACACTGGATTGCCAGATAGATATCAGTCGTTGGGATTGTTCGTCCAGGGCTCGTTTTAAAGAGGCTTTAGTGAGCGGTTCTCCGTTGTGCGGTGAATCCATCTCCGACCTCGGGCTGCTTCCCCCTGAGAGCTCAGCGCCATATTGAGGGTTTGCTGTCGCGGTTTGTCTTGCCAGGGCCGCAACCTTTTTTTGGGCGAAAAAATTTAGCTTGTTGGGCTTATCTTGTTGCCGACGGGTTTTGGGTTGCGACATCCCAGGAATAGGGTCTTGTTTCCCGCAGGAATCTCACAATTAGGTGGTTTTGCCTGGCTCGTGGTGCAGAGCTAAGGACTCATGCGGCCATCTTTCTCCATGTCTAGCCACGCCCCCCTATAAATGTATGTTTTCTTTTTTTAAATTTGACAATTTTTATTTTGTTCAACATAGTGTTCAATGAGAACTGGGTAATGGGGGGGGGGATACAGAAGAAAGAAAAAGGGGGGGGGGGGGTAAGCATCAATCAAGCATTTCCATCCAGCCGTCACACCAAGACGTTACATAGTTACGTATTTACCTATATGTTCATTCTCCTATCCGCTAGTCTAAGTAATAATACCTTTGTAGGTTTCTATTGACCTCGCTGCGCTTTGTCGAGTGTCCGCTATCCCTTGGCTTGGCCACTCATCATGTCTCCCTCCCAGATGCCCTGTGTCATAGGGGGGTGTGTGGTAGGCAGTTGTTATGGCGGGTGATTTCGTCTCCAGTTCTCCCATCTCTCCCAAGTAGCCAATGTTGTTACATTGGGAGGGCATACTGTATGGAATTGGTTCTCGTATATACTTTGGGTATCCATTTCTGCTAGTACTAATTCTAAAGGCGGAGTGGTGCGAGATTTCCATGCCCTTGCGATTACTCGTTGGGCTGTGAGTAGAAGGTGGTATATGAGTTTCTTTATATACTGGGGTGTCTTGGGGGGGATTGCAAGCAGGAGGTATGTGCTAGGATCGTACTTCGGCTCTTCTAGTGTGATTCCCCTGAGCACCTCCCGGATGGCTTTCCAGAAGGGTTGTATCAATGGGCAGCTCCACCAGACATGTAGTGTTGTGCCAATATGTTTGGTGCATCTCCAGCATTCTGGAGAGCTGGCTGGGTAAAGTTTGTGTAGTTTTTCAGGGACCAGGTACCACCTGTACACCAACTTCATATGTTGCTCTATGAGCGTCGCTGATTTTATCAGTTTCCTGGGGGAGGTCACTAGGTCTTCCCACTGTTGTCTGGTGAGGTCTGTGGCCAATTCTCCCTCCCATTGTGTTGCCGGCGAGGCTGTTGCTAGGGGTGTGTAATCTAAGATCATTTTATAACAGGATGACAGTGGCCTGTATGTCTTCGGGAGTCTGCGTTTGATGCAGATGTCCTCCCAGAGGGTGCTCAAGGGTAGGCCTGAACTGTGCTTAGTGAGATCCTTTGTGTTGTGTTTGTGTAGGAAGGATGCCAGTTGTCTATAAGAGAAGTGTGAGGAGGTCGGAATGTTATATGTTTGTTGTAGCGTGTTGAAATCTGTGAGCGCGTTACCCGTGTGGGCATGTGCTAAGGTTGTGATGCCTCTTTCTTGCCATGGAGCCGCGTGGAATGTGGGTATGCAATATGTTAGGGCACGTATTGGCGTGGCTTGTGAGACACGGGGGTTCGAGCTCAGCTTGTTCCTGTGTGTATCCCAGACTTTTAGGAGTAAAGTGATCTGTGCAGGGATATCTATCATTGGTGGCCTAAGTGTCCTGGGGAGCCATAACACGTGTGAGAGTTCGTACGGTTCCATCAGGTGTTGTTCTAATGTCACCCACTGGGGGGGTGGTTGGTCTAGCAAGTGTGGCAGTGCTGATGCCAGTATGGAGGCATGGTAGTAGGCACGTATGTCTGGTACTGCCAGGCCACCTGCTTTCAGCGGTGCTGTCAGCAGTTTCCGCGCTACTCGCGGTTTCTTTCCGTTCCATATAAATGTGTTGATGTCTTTTTGAATTGCTTTGAAGTACGTTTGGGGAACCCCTATGGGCAGCGTTCTAAAGACATACTGTAGCCTGGGAAGTATGGACATTTTCAGTGCAGTCACTCGTTCGGTCCATGTAAGGAATAGGGGTCCCCACAGTTTGAGGGTTGCCTTGCACTCGTCCCACACTCTAATGTGGTTCACCTTTATTAAGTCTTTGGTTTGTTTGGTGATATGGAGCCCCAGGTATGTTATAAAGTCTTTCCTCCAGTCAAAGTCATATTTGATGCGTAGCGATTGGATTAGGGAGGAGGGAAGGTTTATCCCCATGGCTTGGGTTTTTGACGAGTTTAGGGAGTAGTATGATAGGCGGCCGTATGTTTGTATTGCCTGCATTATGTGTGGTAATGAGTCTTGGGGTCTAGTTACATATAGTAAGATGTCGTCTGCGAAGGCGCTGATTTTATATTCGGTGTTCTTTACCTTAATGCCCGTAATCTCTGGGTGGGCCCTGATAGTACGGAGTAGGGGTTCAAGTGCCAGCACATATAGGAGAGGGGAGAGTGGGCATCCCTGTCTCGTCCCGTTAGTGATGTCAAAGGGTGCAGATTTGAACCCTGATTGAAGGACCTGTGCTGCCGGGCCGGAGTAGAGAGCGAATATTTGGTTTATCGCGGTCAGTGGGAATCCATATGCTCTTAGGGTTCGGTCTAGGAAGGGCCAGCTGAGGCGATCAAATGCCTTTTCGGCGTCTAGGGCTAGTAACAGTCCTCCTTCCCTGCTTCTCCGTAGGCTTTCTAGTAGCAGCGTCAATTTTCTAGTATTGTCCAGTCCCTGTCTACCCGTCACGAACCCTGTCTGGTCATCTCCTATGAGATTAGGAAGTATGTCACTGATTCTGTTAGCTAATATTTTCGCGTATATTTTGGCATCAGTATTGAGCAGTGAGATTGGACGGTAGTTTTGGCATTTGTCTGGTGTTTTCCCCGGCTTAGGGAGTGTGACGATAGTGGCTAAGAGCATCTCTGGTGGTAAAGTCCCTGAGTTCGCGGTAGCCTGGTACACTTTAAGTAGGTGTGGGGCCAGTTCTGTGGCGAATAGTTTATAGTAAGCATTAGTGAAGCCATCTGCCCCTGGAGATTTTCCATGAGGGAGACCCGCTATCACCTTTAGGATTTCCTGTATTTCTATGGGTTTAGTCAGATTAATTTTTTGGACTTGGGATATTTGGGGGAGATTGGTTCGTCTCAAATATTCGTCTATGTCTGCGTGGCTCGCTGTGTGTGTGGTGTCTTGTGATTGTAGGTTGTATAGTTTGGAGTAGAAGTCGGCGAATTCTTTGCTAATATCTGCTGGCGAGTGATGTGGTTTGCCGTCTGCCCCTGTGATTCGTGCGATTTTTGTGTTGGCGTATCTGGCTCTTAGTCTATTGGCCAAGTATTTACTGGCTTTACCTCCATTGTGGTAGACATTGGCTTTCAGTTTATAGAGTAAGTTTTTTGTTTTTTCTGTGTTTAGTTCTTTCAGTCTCGTGTGCAATTGTTGTAGTTTTGTTGCTAGTGTTGGGGAGGGTTGTTGTTTGTTTTGTTTGGATACTAATGCCAATTGTTTTTGACAGTCTAGGAGAGTGGTTTGGTGGTGCCGTTTCAGGAAGGATGCCCTTCTAATGAATATCCCTCTCATGACTGCTTTGTGTGCTGCCCATACCATGGTGTCAGAGACCCCTTCCCCTACATTGGTAGCAAAGAAGTTCCGGAGTGCCTCCCTACTCTCCTCCGCAAAGGTTGAGTTCAGCAGCAATGAGTCATTCAGGCGCCATGTTCCCCTCCCCTTGAATTGGTAGGCGTCTAGGAGGTCAAGATACACCGGTCCATGGTCTGACCATGTTATTTCCCCTATCGTACATTCCTTGAGTTGTGCTAGAAGTGGCCTATCTAGGAGGACCGTGTCTATGCGTGTATAAGTGTTATGGACCCTCGAGTGGAAGGTGTAGTCTCTGTCTCCGGGGTGTAGTGTTCTCCACGCATCATACAAGTCATAACGGTCTATCAGCTTAGTGAAAAGTTTGCTAGTAGAGACCATCCTTTTTTTACTATTACCCGTGAGGGTGGCTGTCGTGTCTAGGGTGGGCGACTGGATGCAATTAAAGTCCCCGCATAGTATTACGCCACCCTGCTTAATCTTGTCAGTTAGGTTGAGCAACATTTGTAGGTACGCCCCTGGTTCAGTGTGGCTATAGGGCGGTGGTTGGTTTCTGTTGATGCTATATGGGACATGGGGGGAGGGGATTTCAGAAGGCGGGGGAAACTTAGGGGGTGTAAAACAAACAGTTAGACAGTACGTCTTAATGAACGTCTCCCTAAGGAGCTGAGATGTGCCGGGGGGGTCCCGGTCACATTTGTTGGGGGGTGGGTGGATGAGCCCGGTCATAATCCGGTGACTCATTCGTGGCTGCAGCAGTGGGGCCGCAGCGTTGCATTGCTAGCATAATGAGCGCCTATCTGGGTTTAGTTCCCTGGCATTTCAGGATGGGGGCCCTAGTGTGTAGCGCCTGTGTCCCAAAGATCCAGTTAACCAGCCCCTGCATCTATAACATTGTACGCTTATAACTAATAGTACAGGATATAATAACCGAAGGGGAAACATAACGTAATACAATGGTTAATTTAAACTTACACTTTCGCTGTCGTAAATGTTTAGCGATATAACCATGGGTTATCCACCGCCTACCTCCTTACAGAGGCAGGAGAAGGCTGCAATGTTCAAGTGGTTGACCAGTCTCTGGTTACCCTAGGGGTTTTGTTATGGGGTTGTTTCATCTCGTCTCAGACTTGTATTCCCCAGTCCTTGAGCTTACCAAGCCCCATTTCTGGATTAATTACCACATGCATTTTCCCTTCACGGTGGATCAGTAGTTTGGCCGGGTACCCCCATCTGTAGGCGATGTTCTTCTCTCGCAGGGTGGCGGTGATCTGGGCCAGGCTTTTCCTGAACTGTAACGTTTCTGCTGATAAGTCCGCAAAAATTTTGATGTGTCCATAAGGGTCCGGCATACCTGCTGTTCTGCTTGCTTTCACTATCTGCTCCTTCACGTGGAAAAAGTGAATGCGAGCGATGACATCCCGATCTGTGGAAGGCGGCAGGTGTTGCGGCCGTCTGAGGCGGTGTGCCCTATCCACCACCATCTGGTCTGGGTGTATTGCTGGGGCGAGCGCTTGGAACATGTCCTGGAGGTAGTCACCTAGGCCTGCCTGCAGCACTGTTTCAGGTATGCCTCTTATCCGGATGTTGTTTCTCCGGGAGCGGTCTTCCAGGTCCGCCACTTTTGCTTTAAGATTATGTAGGTTAGTCTCGTAGTCTTGTACTTTTTCAGCTAAATAGTTGTGAGCATCTGTGCAGTTGTCCAGTTTCTGCTCTAATTGAGCCGTGCGCTGGCCTATGTCTGCAACATCCTTCCTCAATTCTGCTGCCAGGCTTTGGAGCTGCTTTTTCATATTAGCCTGGAAGTTTTCAGCCAATTCTGCCAGCATGAGCCTCATTGAGGTTGTGGTGAGGGGTTGCTCCTCTGTTAGGGAGGTGGTGGATGTCGCTGGTGAGATGGATCCCTCGCGGGAGCGATCTCCGCCGCCATCTTGGACGGGGCCGCCGGTTTCCCGCGGTTTTTTTGCGGCCGATCTGGCTAGGAAGAAGGTTGCTCTTTCTGCTTTGGCAGCTTTCTGCTTCTGCCTGTGGGACATTGTACGTCTGGAGGTACCTTTAGGCAATGCTTTGCGGTCCGTTTATGTGTGCTGTGTCCCCAAAACTGCAGGAGGCTCACATGCGAGCGTCCATGCCGTTCGAGCGCCTAGCCACGCCCCCCATAAATGTATGTTTTAATGTAACTGTGAAGCACTCTGGGCAACAACGTTGAAATTAAATGTGCTATATAAATAAATAATAACAGTTACTCCGCCCACTCCAGTTGTAGACTACTGGTGGAGGCAAGAACACTTCACACAATTTCCCCAGAAATTTTAGCTTTTCTAGTTTGTATTGTATATTTATGTAAAGGGACAATCCACTGCCCAATAAAAAAAAGACTATTTAGTGTATATAACCCCAATGAAAACATGCATACATATAGTTAAGCATGAGTAGATCGAAAAACAGCTGTGGGTCTCTTATCTGTAGCCTTTGCAAACCAGCCCCTTCTTCCCAATGCAGCTGAATGATAAGTATTTGTGAGGCAGGTGCTCTGGGCAGTTGCTGTCTCTTGAGTTTAGCTCCAGAGAGATAAACAACCAGATCCTAACTGGGCTGGTATCTGACTGACAGGGAGTAGAGGAGTGCAGCAAGGTCTGATGGTGCAGACAAGTTGATTCTACCACCAGACCAACAGGGATTAGAATTCCGCTCTCAATGGCCAACAGTAAACATCAAGGAGGGTGGCATACACTTTATTTTATGTATTTTTCATATTTTTACCCCCACATATCCCACCACTACTGGCCTTTTCCCCCATCACAACCACTAACCCCACTACTGCACTATCCCCACATCACAGGCCCTATGCCCCATCACAGCTCCTAACACCCCACTAGTGCAACTATCTCCCTTATCACAGCCCCTATTCCCCACATTACTGTCCCTATCGCCTTTTGCACATCCCCTATCCTCCATATTGCAATCATTAGCCTCCTTATCACAGCCCCCTAGTCTGCACATTACTGCCCCTATTCCCCATCACAACCCCTATCCCACCCACTACTACCCCTATCCCTGCATTACATTTGCTATAGCCCTTATTATAGCCCCTACCCATACATTACTGCCCCTATTTCCCATCACACCCATATCCCCCACTACTATCCCTATCCCTGTATTACATTCCCTATACCCCTTATTACAGCCCCTAGCCCTATGTTACTGCCTCTATGCCCCATCACAGCCATTATCCTCACCAGCAAAGCCCCTCCACAGTTCCTATTCCCCATTAGTGCCTCTACCCTCCAACACAGTCCCTAATACAGCCCCTATCCTCCCATCACAGCCCCTATTGCCCTTATCTCACCACCTATTCTCCACATTACTGCCCCTCTCCCATCATAACAGCCATTAACTCCCTACCCCCCCCCCCCAAGCACAGCTTCTCTACAGTTCCTACCCTCACTATTTCCCCTACCTCCCAACACAGCTCCTATCCTCCATCGCAGCCCCTATAACCTCATCATAGCCCCTAACTTAAAGCTATACTGTGCATGCTGGTTAACATTCCTAGGAATTCTCACTTTAGTAAATAACCCTACAAGTCATTTTTTTAATAAATATATACATAAATAAATAAAAACATTTTAATCTTCCAAGTGACTAATCTTGGTATCACCCTTTCTCTTGCTTCTATAAATAACCTAATAAAGAACAATGTGTGTTTACAGTTACACTTATCACAGGGTCAAGACAGAAATGATGTAGGAACACGATAGGTCATTAAATAAGACAAATGTATTTCATTAAATACTTTCATAGCCAAATTAGATGCAGTCTTTTATTGACAATAGACAATAACTGGCACAGGAATTCTTTCTCAAACAATAGATTCAGGCCAACTGAAATATTTCAACAAATTAAAGGTCACAGATTTGATGTGGTGATATGAATGAATTCTGGATCACCCCTTAGAAAATGATATTAACTAGCACAGTGCTGCCTGGTAGTATTGGTTGCTTAGGGCTGAGATGAAAGGTGAAAGGTAAACTAACACAAAATTGAATAAAAAATATGTTTAGTCGATAACTTATAAAATTACTATATAGTTTAGTACTTGTTATGGTTACACTTATTGCTTATATTAAATAATAATAATTAAAAAAACATATTTAAGTTAAAGATCACTTTTTATAGGACAGTAGGAGATAACTTCTCTTTGTGTAGCTTATCCATTGAGAAATGAACACTCTCCTAAATGTTTGGATAGTGTTTGCATGGTCACTATGATAAGGAAGAATCTGATTAGTTTTACTTTTTCATTTAGTTATACACAAAATGACCAACAGTGTTCAAGCAACCAAATGTTACATGGAAGTGACCACTGTGTCCTTGCCATTAGAAAAACACTAATTTCAATGTAACATATCACTATATAAATAAATCTTTCAGAAGGTCTACAACTGTGAGACACTGGGGACAAAAACAGGAGAAGCAGCAGGTTGGTGAAATATTCACTTAGAAACATAGAAAGGTCTACAACTGTGAGACACTGGGGACAAAAACAGGAGAAGCAGCAGGTTGGTGAAATATTCACTTAGAAACATAGAAAGTGACGGCAGATAAGAACCATTCGGCCCATCTAGTCTGCCCAATTTTTAAATACTTTCATTATTTCCTTGCCTTATTTTATAGTTAGGATAGCCTTATGCCTATCCCATGCATGCTTAAACTACTTTACTGTGTTAACCTCTACCACTTCAGCTGGAAGGCCATTCCATGCATCCACTACCCTCTCAGTAAAGTAATACTTCCTGATATTATTTTTAAACCTTTGCCCCTCTAAGTTAAGACTATGTCCTCTTGTTGTGGTAGTTTTTCTTCTTTTAAATATGGACTCCTCATTTACTGTGTTGATTCCCTTCATGTGTTTAAATGTTTCTTTCATATCCCCCCGTCTCGTCTTTCCTCCAAGCTATACATGTTAAGATCCTTTAACCTTTCCTGGTAAGTTTTATCCTGCAATCCATGAACCAGTTTAGTAGCCCTTCTCTGAACTCTCTATAAAGTATCAATATCCTTCTGGAGATACGGTCTCCAGTACTGCGTACAATACTCCAAGTGAGGTCTCCCCAGTGTTCTGTACAATGGCATGAGCACTCTTTCTACTGCTAATACCTCTCCCTATACAACCAAGCATTCTGCTAGCATTTCCTGCTGCTCTATTACATTGTCTGCCTACCTTATCAGAAATAATCACCCTTTCCTCAGATGTTGAGGATAGGACTCTATCAAATATTCTGAACTCTGCCCTTGGGTTTTTACATCCAAGATGCATTATCTTGCACTTATCCACATTAAATTTCAGTTGCCACAACTCTGACCATTTTTCTAGTTTACCTAAATCATTTTCCATTTGGCTTATCCCTCCTGGAACATCAACCCTGTTACATATCTTAGTATCATCAGCAAAAAGACATAACTTCCCATCAAGACCTTCTGCAATATCACTAATAAAAATATTAAAGAGAATGGGTCAGAGTACAGATCCCTGAGGTATGTCACTGGTGACAAGCCCATGCTTCGAATATACTCCATTGACTACAACCCTCTGTTGTCTGTCACTCAGCCACTGCCTTACCTATTCAACAATATTGGAATCCAAACTTAAAGATTGCAGTTTATTGATAAGCCTTCGATGTGCAACAGTGTCAAAAGCCTTATTGAAATCTAGGTAAGCAAAAACTACTGCAATGCTCTGATCTATTATTTTAGTTACCCAATCAAAAAAATCAATATGATTAGTTTGGCATGATCTCCCTGAAGTAAACCCATGTTGTCTCTGATCTTGAAATCCATGTGTTTTTAGATGTTCAACAATCCTATCCTTTACTTTCCCCACTACTGAAGTAAGGCTTACTGGCCTATAGTTGCCCGACTCCTCCCTACTACCTTTCTTGTGAATGGGCACAACATTCGCTAACTTCCAATCTTCTGGGACTACTCCTGTTAACAATGATTGGTTAAATACATCTGTTAATGGTTTTGCTAGTACACCACTAGTCTCTTTTAATAATTTTGGGTGCATTCCATCAGGTCCCATTGACTTATTTGTCTTTACTTTTGACATCTAAAATAGAACCTCTTCTTCTGTAAACTCACGTGTAACAAATTACTCAGTTGTCCTTTTTCCTAGCTGAGGCCCCTTTCCTTCATTTTCATCTGTAAATACAGAACCAAAATATTCATTTAGGCAGTCAGCTAGATCTTTATCCTCTTCTACATACCTTCCTTTTTTTGTTTTTAATCTAACTAATCCTTATTTTACTTTCCTTTCTCATTTATGGTTATAAAATTTTTTTTTACTGACTGCTATTTTCTCTTCTGAGTGTAATTTGGAAGCTCTTATAACTTACTTAGCCTCTTTCTGCCTAATCTTATAGATCATTCTGTCTTCGTCACTCTGGTTTTTTTTTATAATTACTAAATGCTAACTTTTAGTTTTTTTACTATTTTGGCCACATCTGCGGAGTACCACAGTGGTTTCTTGAATTTTTTGCTTTTACTGACAAGCCTAATGCAATTTTCTGTTACCTTCAGCAGTGCAACTTTTAAATAATCCCATTTCTCTCAGACTCCATTAAATTGCTCCAGTCTGATAATGACTCCTTTACACATAGTCTAATATTCTGATAAAGGCAGCCGGTTGGTGCCGAAACATTGGGTGACAGGTGTCTGTGTCCTAAGGCTGGTTAGAATTTTTTGACTTTGTAGGATTGCATTATTGTATTTGCCCTTGCTTCTGTCATTGTGTTTATTTATTTTTTTCTGTATTTTTTCACTGAAGTACTTTTTGTACAGAATAAAGTTATATTTTTGACTATTATTAGTGGTTATAGTATGCATTCTATATTACATAGACATATAAGTATAATTCGTAAAAGACTTGGTGTCAGGAGAACATGTTAAGTCAAGGTTATATCTGTAGAGTGTCACTGCCATGTGTGAATACTATCCTATTATATGTAGTGTAGTGTGCACAATTATTCTATTA